TCAGGGGCAAGGTGGGGGAACATGTCTCCAAGCCTTATAGATTATAAAGATTTCTTAAACTTTTTTCATAAAAAAAAAAAAAAAAAAAAAACAAGAACATTTTAAAGATCTAATTGCTACTGAGTGGAATGAATCTAATGAAGTATACTATCGATTCTTCCTCTGTTATATCAATTAGAAAGTTGTTTTACATGGTGCTACATAACAATGTATTAGAGCATCTTCCAAAGCAAGATTACTTTTCTTACTTCCTTATGTGATTCACTTCTTAATCTTTACCCCATATGTTCTGTGTCTGTTTTTTGGTGTTTTTTTAAGATCCTGCAAAAGATTGTCCTTGACAAGCATTTAACGAGTCTGCTGCCTCTGCCTCTCTTTTTAAACTCATGCAAATCTAATGTATAATGTACAGTTCTTGTTTGCAGTAATAACAAGTCTTAATTCCATCTTAATCCTAATAAACTCAGCTACTAATTGCAAATAATTTCAATTAATTGATGACTTGTTGAGCTTGCTTTATTTCCTAGGATGCTTGTTTAGCTTATTAATTTTTTTTTTTACCTAGAAAGTGGTCTTAAAATTTTGTTAACTGTTATTTACTATTCAGTTGATTATTTTAAGGTCAAAGTTCCCTTATCAAAAGCTCTTTTGTTCCTCAAACATAATGTTTCTAAAATTCTTTTTTCCTACTTTGCATAAACGAATGCATAGGAATAATGAGAGTCCTGCTTTCTAGTTCTGTTGATGATTGTGTTCACAGTTCTCTTGCTCTGCTCATCTCATTTTCTGTTTCTGTATACTTGCATCCAGCACTCACACTGTATGTTGGTCGATGTCATTTTGCTCCTCTATATCTTCCTAGTGCTAGTCTTGCAAGTCCTACACAGTTCAAATACTTTCTTATTTGTGGATGTGACAGTGACACCTACTCTTCTGCTTCAAGACTTCAAGGTGTGGTAGAGACACAGTCCTACTGAAGAGCATTTTAGAATTAAAGCATCAACTCAAATGTTACAAATGTCTCACTTTCATAGAATCACAGAATTGCAGGAGTTGGAAGGGACCTCCAGAGGTAGAGTCCAACCCCCTGCTACAGCAGTTCCCTGCAGCAGATCTCACAGGGAGGTATCCAGGCAGACTTTGAGTATTTTCAGGGAAGGAAACCTCTCAACCTCTGAGCAACCTGTTCCAGCGTACAGTCGCTGTGACAGTGATGTTCTTCCTTGTGTTAGTATGGTACTTCCTGTGTTACAGTTCCTGCCCTTTGCCCCGTGCTCTCTTTTTACTTTTCACAAAAAAGAATCCACCCCCATTGACTTGACTCCTGCTTTTTACATGCTTATAAACAGTCATGAGAAAACAGTTATGAGTTTTGTTTGTATGAAGTACTGTTGTTACAGATCTGATAACATTTAACAAGTGCACTTCCTGAATGCATTGACTTCTGCGGTCCTGCATGACACAGTGTGATTAATGGTATCAGTTCTTTCTTACATCTGAGCTCTGAGAACACCAGGCTCACTGTTGACTGATTGCGTGCGGCTTACTAAGGTGAGCTCATGTGGAAGAGTGTTTTCACCAGGGAAGTAAATTAAAAGATAAGACTGATTCACATTGGTGCTGGGGTATTCTCAGATCCCTGCATCCCGCTCTGACACTTGTTTCAGCTTTCCCTTGCCTCCTAGAGCACTAGGAATACAAGGATTGCTGAAAGATTATTTGACTTTCCTCTGAAAAATAAACAGCCTACTCATTCAGCATGAGAGTTCTGGAGGCTTTACAATATGCCATCAGGGATATAGAATGCATATCTCTACTACTCTGGCTCATTTCCGTAGTTGAAATACCACCTAGTTCATGACACTTTTGGTGACATGTACAGATTCCCAATGAACAGATAGATAGCTTAAGCATTTGGTACTGATGGAGATTTGGAGTCTAAATAGCAGTGTCCTGTGCTTTGCCAGCCAGAGGGTTGGCACAAACATAGCTTAGTGCTATTTGCATCTATCTCTTCTAGCCTTAGGAGAGTTAGATCGAAGTCAGAAGTGAAGCATCCTGTATCCAAATGGGGAGCAGGAAATAATGCTATCACAGAGGGAAAGAATTCAAGTGGGCACTGAAGTAAGGGTCAGAATTATTGCCTTAGGCATGGAAGGGGATGTACATTTAAAAAGGAAATTAAAAAAATATATATGCTTCTGAGTACCTTGTGCTGTGAGAGCTCCTGGGATCTGCTTTCCATACGTGTGCTCACAGCAGGCTCTTTCCCTGCCCTGGTTGCTGTTATTTTTCTTAAGTTACCTGAGTGCACTGAAGTCTGTGATGCACAGTGAGTCCATCTGCTTTGAAAAGCAAGTATGGACTAGGAAGGAAAAAAGACACATGCAAATGAAGTGTGTGTGTGTGTATATATGTCACTTTTATATACAGGATTTATATATTTCTAGCTAATGGTGGCAGATAAAGATGCTTCTTCTAATAGAGACTACTCAATGTATAGATTTTTAAGGTATGTATGGGGTCCTGACTGAATTCATTTTGTCTCACTGCATCTTTTCTCTTTTGTGTAAGAGTATTTGAACTGAACTGCTGTGGACAGAAAATGAGGCTGCTGGTGAAGTTTTAATAAGATTGGAAAACTTGGAACAGCTACAGGTCTAGTGGCTGTTGGCAGTTTTCCACAGTTTGCCAAGGGTGTGCCTGTTGTGCAAGGTCAGGTAGGAGCTGTGGCAAGAAAATACTTGATCTGGAAGAAGAGAACGTTTCTTTTAGATACTTTTTTGTTTTGTTCTTTTTAAGATACAAATAGTAATTTAGTGAGGACGTACCTTTTAATGTATTGAATGAAGATGCCAGGATGCCAAGTTACAGTTTTTCAGACTCAGAATTCCAAGAGTGTGTTTGAAAGTAGGTTTAACATCTTCATTGTTGATCATAGCTATTAAAACTTACCGTAATTAGTCTATGTATCAAAAGTTTTTCTTGCGAGTATGGGAGCATTCCTGCTCACTTAGTTTTTAATATGAGGGCTGCTCTGAAATTAATGCCTTTTACTTTATTATGTTGATCTACAATGTTGGGGTCAGTGTTGGTGATAAGACAGTAGAGGTTGAATCTTCCTAGGCCCTATAACAGTTGGAAGTACATTACCTGTCTTGCCTGGACTGTCCTACCTTATCTACCATGTAGTCTAGATTCAGAGCCTTCTGACTCCTATTGGTTTGGGCTGATGAAAGATGGACTGCATGGGAAAAATCTTCCTAAGAAATGACACTGTCATAGCAGCTGTGAAACAGTGTGTCACCTCAGCTGGTGCAGATTTGAGTGCAGCATGTTGATTTTTGTTCATGGCTGGCAATAATGCATAGCTAGTGGTGGTGACTGTGTTGAAACATACTGTTTTGTAGCTGAGAATTTGCTCTGTCAGTGCTACTGTGCTGTTTGTATCTGATAAGTTTCCATGGAAATAAATAAGAGGCATTGCTTTAGAAGCGACCTGTGTGCATATAAAATGTGGAATTAGTTTGACAACTCCCTTTTAAAGTACTTAACATTGTTTGCTGGAAGTTGCTTTTACTATGGTCCTCTACAGCTTAAGTACTGTTACAGATGTAAAAAACTTGATGAAGTTTTAGATTGCTTAGGAAGTTCTGCAGTGACAAAAAATAGAAAGCAATCTGTGCTGCATTTCTTTTTCCCTTGTATCTTGATAGCTTCAACTACCTATGTATAAATTTGGGGGAGTTGGGATAGGAGGTGTAATTCCTGCAAGCATTCTTCAATCTCTTTTCCAGTGCTGGTGTCAGGATATCAATTAAAAACAGTGATGTGTAGGAGTCAAGCTTGCTGCAAATTTGCAGTATGTATTATCTCAGCTTAAGTAAATACAAAGCATGCTTTCTGCCCTCAATCTCTGTGTGGTAAGGTATTGCAGAAGAATGTTTTGTAAGGTTTGTTTCTTGTTTTCAAGGTGTTTTGAAATGTTGAATTGAATATATTCAGGTATGGCAATAGAAATTTGAATATTTTGAAACAATACTGTAATGTCAGTGCAGCATGGAAACATGACATCTCATTCATTAAATATTTTGGGATCCTATGAAGCAGATATGTTACTGTTGAAGATGGAAGCCTTGTAGCAGAGGTGCAACTTAATAGAATCATCTTTTTAAAAAAAAAACAAAAACAAAAAAAAACAAGAAACACTTGCCCATAGATGGATATATTAAAAATAAACTTTTCTAAAGATGTAGTATTAAATAATTCCTGTTGAATCATGTAAATATGCTTTTGTTGTCTTAATCATGATGATATCAAGCTGATTAGTCAAAAACTATAATATACTTGAAGCACATGTTGTCAATTGGCTCATGAAATGGAGGTCATCAAGATAAGAAGCAGCAATAAAAGGAATATTCCTGTGTTATTTATTTAATATCTTACTAAATTTTTATATTCATAAGTGCTTTATTCATAGAGTGTATTTGCTAATGTTTGCTACATACAGGATAATTCCGAACTTAAATATAAATGCTCTTCATCTCACACGAAAGCTTTAAATACTCTGTCCTTACCAAACAGCATGCAGCCTAAAGAAGCTGATTAGTTCAAACGCACCGGAACTGCAGACCACCTGCACACTAGATGCAAGCAGACTGGCTGTAACAGAAAACCGATTAAACACAGTACTTCCAGAAGTCTAATGGGGTAGATTGCCTCTTTAGTATTTCTTCTTTAATAGCTTCCTGGATACTAGCAAGTACTTAGGCTGTTAATTGATTCCTAGTTATCGGTGCTTTATACTGGTCAAATGCTTAAAGCATTGCAAGGGAATGAAGTCGTTATCCCAGCAGCTGGCTCTCTGTTAGGCAGAATCACTGGGAGCAAGCTGTGTAACCAGTGAATTAGATGTCTGCCCACGGGGCTGTAGTCAGCAGCCTGTGACAGTGCTGAGAGGAAAATGAATTTAACACGCGCATTGCCTCAATTTCTTTCAGACACTGGCCAGAAGAAGACGGCAGACAAGAAAGATGGGCGACGAATGTCTTTTCAAAAGCCTAAGGGGACGATTGAATATTCTGTAAGTTGCTGCTTGATTATTAAAATGTCATTGCAAAACAAGTGCAAATTTAGTTTCTTTAGAAAATATAGGTGAAATGGTGATATGCATTGCCTTTAATCTTAGAATCTGTATACCTGATGGCTTATTTAAAAAAAAAAAAATTAAATGAGCAATTAGATAGTTAGTAGTACTTGAGTAATGCTTTTTTAAATCTCTTCTTTATAAACTTCCTGCTTTTTTTTTCAAAAAAAAAAAACCACCTGCCAACACCAGACTAATCAACATGTTAAATGGTTCAGCTTTACATAATCAGTTAGAAACAGTAAATAATATTAGTTAAAATCACGTGCATGTTGCCTGCTTTCAGCACTGCTAATAAACTGTGGGGATCAGGGAATCAGGAGGGGAAAAAATAGAACAAAGGTGGTTGTTTGTTTGTTTTTTTCAGGGTAGGGAAAGGTTGGCTATATTTTGGTACTGACCTTACAGCTGCCTTCTAATAATTCTCATAGATCCATACCTTTTGCAGTACAGATCTCATCCTCCAGCAGTATCTGAAAATGGAGCCTTTCTCTGCTTGTTCTGTTCTTGAAATGACCCTCAAACTGTACTGCAGTCAGCTTTTCACGTTTGTGGTTACTAAGGGAAACTGAAGTGAGAGTCATCTGTCTTGTTATACACTGGAAATAAACCTATAAATATGGGTTTGTAGAGGTCCCATTAAAATGGGAGAAGCCTATCATGGTTATTTTGAATGCTTTTGGAGCTGGTCAGGATAAAATAAAAATGAGAATTTATGAATAGGTTTATTTGATTTCTTGCTGTTCTTGTTATAAGAGATAAGGAAGACTTAACTCTTACTGCTACAGTAAACTGAAATGATATGGTTTAATGACTGTGAAGTCTGTGACAGTACTTTGGAGAGAGTCAGAGAATGTGTATTAAAGCAAGATGCATTCCATTAGCTTGATTCCTATTGGGAATTTAAGAAAGCCTTTAGTATGGGCTAGAATTGAAGTTGAAATTCAAAACAAATTTCTGCTTTTTGAATTCTAGGTACTGAAGATGTGACTTTTCTTGGTTTTGTTCAACTCTGGGGAATAAAGGCTGTGCTTTTCTCCTGAAATTGTGAATAAGCTTCTGAAATGTAGTGCATGTGGTCTGAGTCAATTAAAGAAAACACATAAGTGTATAGTAGAGCAGAGTCCTAAGACAGGCTTAAGCCAGAGTTCTTACTACTGAACTGTCACTCTTTTAAGTTCATCTTTTCTTAGTTATTTGGTGCTAGGTCCAGCTTCTCAATACTCTTTTCTAGTTTGTGTTAGTTCAAAGCAAGTTAGTCTGGATGCTGAGAACATAACTACAGTGGCTCATGAATGCAGCTACTCAAGGTAAAATTAGAGTAATTCTCATTCTTATCTCAGGGAGTTCAGGTCCCTGAAGTGCTTTTATGGTGATCATCAAACAGGTAAAAATTTGCTAGACTTCAAACTCAGATGACTATTTGGAATTGTAATGACTGGCTGAACACACATATTTTGAAAGTAGAGAAGTGATGTGTGCCTTTCTAGAGTGATTGTAGATAGGACTCCAATAAACTATATGCTTTTTTTTCTTGATGCTTCATTTCAAAGTCAGGGCTATGTTCTTGTCTGACTTTCTGAGCTGCTGCTGTCGTAGTTTTTTTCAATTGAGTTGTTTAGAAAGTGTGCATCACAGTAACGATGTGTTACTTTATTTATCCTATTGTTTAGCTCTTTAAAATTGGTTTTGGTGGTGTACTTGTGATATTTGAAGACTTTGTCTTTTTTGAAATTGCATGTTACAGAAACTATGCCTTTTAAAAATTAGACAAGATCATAATCTGATATTGGCTGGTGTTGTGCTGAAGCATTTGGCAATGGTGTTTTCTTCTCTCCTTTGTTCTTACCCTTCTCCCTAGTCTTCCCATCTCTAATTTTGTTGTTTCTTTCTAGTTATGTTTTAACTATTGTTTCAGTTTTCTTTCTAGTTTCTGGAAAACTAGCCTTGAAATACTGCAGAAAGAAAAAACTTTTTTTTTTTTTTTTTGCAATACTCTGATACATATATATTGTGTATAATTTTTAATGAAAGAATGAGTGAACTCCTGTAGTAAAGATGCAGTGGCAGATAAATTCATCAAAATATCAGTAGAAAAAATGATTTTTTAACAGAATGGCCTGGGTTGGAAGGGACCTTAAAGATAATGTAGTATTTCCAACACCCCTGCTGTCAGGGGTTGCCACCCACTGGATCAGTTGGCCAGGGCCCCATCCAACCTGGTCCACATCTAGAAGATCTATTCCAATGCCTCATTAGTCTCTGAGTTGGGGGAAAAAAAAAAAAGAAAAAAAAAACCACACAAAACAAACCTTCTGTCAGACTGTAAAATAGTTGGTTTCTCTCCTGTTTTATAAGATGGAAGGCCATAATGATGTCTCTGTGGAACCTTCTCTTCTCCAGGCTGAAAAAGCCTAGCTCCCTCAGCCTTCATAGGAGAAGTGCTCCAGCCCTCTGATTATCTTTGTAGTCCTCCTCTTGAATCTGCTCCAACAGTTGTGCATCTTTCTTGTCCTAGGGGCACCAGGCATGAATACAGTACTCCAAGGAGAGTCCTATGAGGTCAGAGCAGATGCTGATGGTCACCTCCCTCTCCCTTGGCCATCTCTATTTTGACATAGCCCAGGATACTGTTGGACTTCTACAAGTGTGTAGTGTTGACTCATGTCTAGCTTTTAATCCACCAGGGCCTCAAAGTGCTTCTTAGCAGAGCTGCTCTCAGTGTGTTCTTCTCCCAGTCTGTAGCCATATGTGGGATTGCCCCAACCCAAGTGCATTTTGTTGTATTTGGTCTTGTTGAATCTGATTAGATTAATATGGGCTATCATTGCAAGCTTGCCCAAATCCCTTTGGATGGCATCCTTTAAACAAAGTTCTAAAATATATTTGCCAACTGTTAATCTTGCAGAAAAGGAAGAAGGTATTTGTGTACTGATTTGTGGCAAATGTGAATACACATAATGGTCTGTATATGGAAAAAAGGGCTAATGAGGGATACTTATGCTTAAATGGGACAATGGGATTTGAAGAGTGTTTGATCTGGATAGTGATAGAAGAGTAAAACAGACTATTTGGATCTTAAGTATCTATTGCTCTACCTAGTCATATGCGTAAGATCTGCTTTTCTAGCTTAGAATTTCTGCTTATTTTTATACAGAAGGTAGAAGAAGCTAAGGATAGTGCCTTGTTTATATAGTTACACAACACAGTTGACTAGAAGGTCTTGCTCCTGACTGTAGGAAAGCCACACTACTATCCTTTGTGATTTGGCTGTCAGTTTTGTTGTAGCGTATGGAATAAGTTGTAAATATCTGGTCTAGTTGTTGTTTTGTTTTTTTTTTTTTGCTATCTGTTTTGGTACCAACTAAAAGGAGGCTATAAGGATGCTGTGATTTATGCTCATCTATGTGATCATGTAGTACTGTGTAGTGCAGAAGCCATTAGCACCTGAAATACCAGAAGAGGTTTTTGCTGCTTTGTGTACCTTAGTGGCAGCTTCCAGTACAAAGAACTACCCTAACACAGAAATAACTCTAAAAAAGCAACTTGCCATTTCTTTGGCAGTAGCTGTGTTTTAATGAATTCAGGCTGACAGATGCACCTTGACAGAAAGATAACAAATTCTGTATAAAAAGAAATTATTCAACTCCTGCTTTCAAATCTTGATAAGACTTCAGGATACTGTAATATATAAAAATATTGCTTATATGAAGTAATAATACAAGTAGTAATGTATTGGTATTTGGTATCCCAAACTAACTTCTGTTTTCAATCGTAGTATAATGGTCTTTGAAGTACATGGTGTTTGTAGCACTTGTTATAGGGTGACTTTATTCTGTATTTAAAGAAATTTGTCTGCTCCTGTATCAGTTATGCTTTCTTGAAATTCCTGTAATATCAGGATGTGTTCAGCAGTGTAGAACCATAGAATATTCTGAGTTGGAAGGGACCCATTAGGATGTGATGTAACTTTTAAAAAGCTAATGAAGTATTCATTTTCTTAAGTTCTTTTAGATCAGTGTAGGGAGTTACAGGTTTTAGAACAGTCAAGTGGGAATGTGTTTTGAGGAACAATTATTTAATGTTCTATATTCTACTTGGGCTTGGCAGCAGGTATGAGGTGCATTTACCAGCTATTCTCACAATGTCAATAAAATGTATTAGTGTTAATGTAGTTAATACTGAGAGATTAAATATTTATGTGCACTTACATTCTGGCATAACCTTTGCTGCTTCTGTGAAGATTGAATGTGTCTTGTTACGTTCTGCTGCTAATAGTAAGCATTAAGCTATGCTCTGTAGAATATAGTTCATCTGAAACTGTCCAAAATAGACTATGACTGGGAGCAGGCTAGCCCAGGACATACCTCCATGCTTATTTACACTTACTTATGTATGAATATGGTTACAGAAGTAGAGCATTTTAGTCTTTGGGATCCAAGCACTGCATTTACCTGTGGTTGGGTGTAAGGTGGGCCTGCTGTTGGACCGAAAGCTATTGCATATGTGTACTTCCTGACCCTTCCTTCACCCCACCCCATTCCCTTTTTGTTCTGCCTCTGCTAATTTACTCAAGCAGAAGGGAAATATTTTTACCTTGTAAGTTTGTCAAGAGTTGACAGGGCCCACAAGACATGGGACTCCTGTGTCTTTAAGGAAGAGCATGAAGACCAGAGGATGCATATCATAATGGGTATGCAGTCAACTGGTGATGTCCACTTGCTGTCTTGAGAGCAGGTGTGTGGAACACAGAAGGAAGAAAATATGGGGTAGTTGTTGTCTTTTTCCCTTTTCCGTTTCTTAGCCCTTGAAAATTATGTTTTTAAAAAAAGGAGAAGCACTTAGCAGAGAGAGGATTCTTTTCTGTATCTGTCAAGTAAACTTAAACTTCAGCGAATAAAAGGAAAACTAAACCTGTGAAAAATTATTTTATTCAGTATAATTGGTCAGTATTAGAAGAGCTATATATCATGCAGGTGTAAGCTGAGGGACAGACGAGAAGACATTTAAGACTGGAGTTAGTGGGATTTTTATCGCTGTAATCTGTATTTAGACCCCAAAATATACTTTTGCTTATAGTGCTTCGTATTTTCTTAGCTGATAGAATGTTTTTCCTTTTTTTTCCTTGGTATGGTGTTTATGAAGCCATGTACTATTGTGATAGCTTCTAGTTGCACCCTTGTTTATCACATGATTATCATTGTCCTTAAATACTTCCTATGTACTCCTTAATTTGTAGATGGGATTTAAAAATAAACTGCTCTCTTTGCTTTCTTCTGTTGATGAATTTTGAATACGTTTTGGGAAATGGAGAGAGGCAGCAGAGGTGAGATTAAGACGTTGAAAAAAAATATTACTTCACTCAGAAATCACGTACTCTAATATGCTTGTATTCAGTCTTTCAATATTAGCTGATCTGCTTTGTTGATCTTGCTGATGTCAGTGATTTTTACTGGAAAATCAGATTAACAGCAGCTTATTTCAGTAGGCAGCTTGTGTATTAGAACTTAAGGGGGCTGTCTCAATTTTTTAGGTAATTGAAGAAAGGGAGGATGTGAGTGTCTGATTTCACAGAACATAATGTATATGTCCATGGGTCCCCAGCATTGGACTTATACAGCAAGAGTTTTGGTGCAGCCCAGTGTGTGTGACTGAATGGGAATCTGGATGGGAAGGCAGGTGTTATTATACAGGCTTAAATTAGACTAATAACCAGACGGTAGTTAACATCTGGGGGCAATTCAAGATAGGAAGACTAAAAGTTTATGAAAAAATCTCAGAAAATCTACATATGATTAAAAGTTATAAGGTAGTATTTGAACTAACTACTTACAGATTTGATTTTGTTTTTCTTTTTTTTTCCTTCAATTTGATACAGGTGGAATCGAGAGATACTCTAAACAGTATTGCCCTGAAATTTGATACAACACCCAATGAACTGGTTCAATTAAATAAGCTTTTCTCCAGAGCAGTCGTTCCTGGACAGGTACTATTATACTACATATGTTACTTACTCAGCAAAGACTTTTTTCCCCCATATTTCTCGTCTCCTGTCAGAGCAAGTGTTCAATCCCTATTGTCTTTGTAAAAAGGCTTTTACAGTTTTATTCTAATCTGTGAGTTCCTCATGCCTTTTAAATAACTTAAAAAAAAAAAAAAAGCAATTAATGAAACTATCTCTCTCTAAAATCAAGCAACTTTGGTTTTTAAATTACATGTACTTACTGACATAATGACACTTGAGCACAAGCTAAATTGCTGCTTTGTGAATATAGCAGGCTATCTAAAATGGCTTGCTCTGAAAATAAATTCATAGTACAGCTTACAAACATTGTTTCTGACTGCATGCTACTGCTTGCAATTCTGCTTCAGTAAATCAAATGTTTCCATTCCAACCTTAAAGCTTGCTGTCATTTTAGCAGGGCTGTGTGAACTACTGTTATTATTTCTTTTAGATCAGTATTGCTTACACCCTTCTATTTTTTATCTTTTTTTTCCCCCTCTTCTATCAGCCTTTTTCATTTCCTTTAAAGCTAGGCCTGGAAAGAAGTGATAGGGTAGCTGGTGAGGCTATTTGGTATTAGCCTTTTATTTGAAATAATCCTACGAGGATGGGCTGAGAGAGTTGGGGCTCTTCAGCCTGGAAAAGAAAAGGCTCAAGGGGCACCTTACAGCCGCCTTCCAGTACCTGAAGGGAGCCTACAGGAAAGCTGGGGAGGAACTTCTTATAAGAGCAGGTAGCAGTAGGATGAGGGGAAATGGCTTTAAACTGGAAGAGGTTAAATTTCTTCTTAATATTTAGTCTAAATTATTTGCTGTGAGAGTGATGAGATACTGGAACAGGTTGCCCAGCAAGGCTGTGAATGCCCCCTCTCTGAAAGCATTCAAGGCCAGGTTGGATGGGGCTTTGAGCAACCTGGTCTAGAGGGAGGTGTCCCTGCCTCTAGCAGGGGGGTTGGAATTGGATGTTCTTCAAGGTCCCTTCCAACCCAAACCATTCTAAAATTCTATGTTTATTTCTGATTGCTGCAAAACCTAGTCTAAGTTTGAATGCTTACCATGACCCAAGCAGTCTGTTTAATGGGTGAATAACGTTAGAGACTTTTTCCTTTTCTTCTAATCTTTGGCTAATGGCATGTCTGTAAACACTTCTAACCTGCCTCTTGGTTACTCAAATAATAAGCAAGGGAAATAATCCACCGGGTCATCTTTATGTACTCTGAGTGTTTCTGACACTTCTATTTTCTATCTAAGTTCTTCTTTCTATTTGAACCTTTACTCAATTATGATTACACATCTATCATATCTTAAAGTAATTTAATAGTATTCAAAGTTAAAATCAAGAAGCATTTTGTTGTATTGTTTATTCCCTCAACTCATAATTCCTGTTAAAAATGAACTGGAGGAAAAATAACTTCATACAGATTATTTTGAGAAAGTGTGACATTTAGCTGAACTAGTGGGAAATCTAAAGTAAACTTGAAAGCATAACTTCTAACTGCATTATATCTTCTTTATAGATTTTGTATGTTCCTGACCCAGACTACATATCTAGTGTGGACAGCTCCCCCTCTCTAAGCCCTATAAGTCCCTTATCACCTACATCTTCAGAAGCAGAGTTTGACAAGGCTACAATAAATGTAGGTATACCATTCTTGAAAGTAACTTCCCTTACAAGATGAATGTTATAAATGTTATGCTTTCTTCCTAAAGAAGATTATTCATTTTGGGGAGAAAGTACTTTATAACACGTGTAGTTGAAAGCAAAATAGTAAATGCAAGATTTGGTTATCTTAAATGAGTTTTCTATGTGAAAACTGGCTTGTATTCAAGTCATTAGTAAAACATCACTATCTTTGCAGATTGATATCTTAAGTATTAATTTCTGTTGCATTTGTGTTACCTTTGAGAACTAGATAAATATTTTTATCTAACTTTAAATATTGATATGTTCTGTAGCAATGAGGCATTTTAACTACATAAATATTCTTGTCATTGTAAGGGTTCTACCCTTGCCATCCTTGCCATCACTCCTCCCTTAGTAGTGGTTGAAGAGTTTTCCTTTGGCTTCATTAAGGAAAATGAAGTAAAATGTCTGTTTCAGTAAAGGGCTGATTATTGAGTGTTGATTTATAGCCAGCTTTCACTTAATAGTGTTGTCTGTATTTATAGACTTTCCTGTACTTAAAACTGTATAACTTTGAAAGCTGCTCTATAATTAAGCTTAAATGTAGTTTCTGTCTTTGAGTTAGCTTTGTAAAAGTATGTCTTTCCAGGATCACTAGTTTACTATTAAAATAATCTCCTGGGGAGAACTCAACCAGAAATATGCAGAGAAGATATTATTCTCATACTGTAATATATGCAATTCTGACCTTATTCAGCTGTTTCCTAACATGTCAGTACTAATCTCTTCCCAGTTATTATCTTTTGTTTCAAATAACAAAATATCTTGGTAGTGTGTAGTCAAGCTGTCAAATGCCTACTCCAGAAAGCAAACTGGAGGTGTTGTAGCTCAGTAAATAGACTAGATTAGTCTATTTTCTTCTGTATCGTGTCTCAGAATGACTTAAGATGCTAGTATAGGCCTACCTATGTAGAATATATATATAAATTGAGAAGCTACTCAAAAGAAAAAATTGTCACACTTAGAGAAATTGGAGCTCTTTCAACAATGTAGTAGACATGCTGTGTCAGAAAAAATACTTTTTTTTTTTGGTCTTGTGAAGTAGTTTGTACATGCTTGCTTGCGTAAAGTAGGTGTGGGGACAAAGTAGTGTAACAGTAGCTCTAATTTTTTTCCAACTGCCTTGTGCATATAATCAGTAAAAACAGATAAAAGCTTGAAATCATAGAAGAAACAAAATGGATTAAAAAAACTTTTGAAGCTTAAATACTTTAGGCAGTGGGTTATTTTGCCTAGTGTGGGCAGTTGAACATTGGCAACATCTTGAGAGTTCACTTTGACTTGATATATTCTTCTATTACAGAACCCTTGTTTGTATCCTTACATATCAGACAAACATCCCTTTAAATGCTTCAGGAAAAATCAAACTATATGGTAGTAATTATTTATGGACAGCACTGTTTCTGATGTTTCTCAAAACCTGTTTAAGGGAAATGAAAGACTGTCTAAATGACTTCTGTCAAACACAAGTGAAGAAGGATAGAAATCACTTGTACTTTTCAGGGTGGATTATGTGTGGCTTTTTTTGTTGGTGACTTTTTTTTATCAGCAGTGTAAGTGATGGTTGCTTTCAATTTGAAGATTGGTTGGAGGGTTTGGTTCTTTGATAGCACTTGTTTTCCATGCTTTTTCCCTTCTGCTGATTACTATCCCAAGGAGAGTATGCTCTGTAGCAATGTCTGTAATTATTGACTCTCCCTTAGTTCTGACTCAAAAAATGCAAATTAACTTGAAAAGTGATTAAAATTAAAAATGCAATGCAATTCTGCCTATGTCATCTAATGAGATCTTTATTTACTATGATCATGGATTACTAGAAATTGAATGAGACAGCTGTATTTTCCAAAGCAGAAGTTCAGAAGTTGGTTACAATAGGATTGAGCTTTCTGCTTCAGTTTCTATTTCATCAAATAATAGTTTTGCAGTATTGTATGAATGAATTCAAACCAGCAAACCCTGTTTTTTCTTACAAAGCTGTATTTAAGCTAAGACTTCAGTATGTATTTCAGTAAGCTTAATATCAGTCTTTGTGTAGTAACTTGGCTTAGGCTGAGTCTTTCTTATGCTGTTATTGTTTTGTTGCTTGGTTTGTTTTTCTGGTTTTCTTCTGAAGGGTTTCACTTGGCAATCTGATGCACAAATTAAAAAGCTTATTGGATCCTCTTAATGTTCAACTTGCCATCAATCAGAGCCCCCCAGATCCCTTTCTGCAGAGCTGCTCTCCAGCCTCTCCTCTCCCAGTACATTTATTCAAGGTTGCTCTGTCCCAGGTGCAGAATCCAGCACACGCCATTTTTAAAAGTCACACAGTCGGTGATTACCCAGTGCTCTAGTTTGTCAAGATCTCTCTGCAGACCCTCTCTACTGTCTGAAGAGTCAACAGCTTCTCCCAATGTAGACGTACGCAAAGTTACTTAGTATATCTTTGAGTCCTGTATCCAAGTCATTGATGAAAGTGTCGAAGAAAACTGGCCCTAAAATGGAGCCTTGAGCACCCCACTAGTGACTGGCTCTTGACACTATTCCAGAGCAGGAGAGGTGGGACCTAGTGTCCTGGTAGAGAAGGCGTTCAACAATGTCCTCTTGTGGCAATGAAGGCTAATCACATTCCAGGTAAAAGATGAGAGTAGTGCCAAATAGTTTAGGAAAAAGATTATTTCCCGTCAGAGGAGCTTCTAAAGCTGCAGCTGCAATGCTGTGTTCACTTCTTTCACTTTCAGTACAAGACAAAGATTGATATGCTGGAGAGAACCCAGCGGAGGGTTGTCAGGTCATGCATTTCATGATGTAATACCATGCTTAAGAATTGACTGCGGAAGCTGTTGGTTTTTTTTTTTTTTTGTTTGCATGGGGAGGAAAATGCTGATGGGTAACCTGATTACAAGGTTGTATTACCAAATATAGAGAGGCTACAGGGAGGAAAATAACCTGGTATCTTCAGAGGTTCATAGTGAAAGGATGGGCAGCAACATGTATAGAATGTTGCACAGGAGGTTCTGGTTAAATAATAGGAAAATGTTTTTTTTTTTTTTTTGCAGTGAGATTGGTTAAGTTTTAGAACAGGTTTCTAGGAAAGGCAGTGAAATCTCCAGCCTTAAAGACTTGAACTCAACTGGAAAAGTCATAAGCAACTTGATCTAGTGTAGACTTGGGCTTAATGTCAACCAGAGTTTCTAATAGCTGACCTTGAGAGACCTTCAAACATAAAGTAGTATATGATGTGATAAGGGATACCAGGTAATACTTAACAGGGCTTTATTTGTTAAAACTGGAAAATAATACTTTCTGCTAACTAGCTGTCACTCATGGTTTTCCATGTGAAAACGTATCAAGTGATCTCCTTACACAAGTTCATATTTTATTTGTTCCTAGGTTGATTCTAAATACCACTGTGTACTGGCATTTCTTCCCATGGGCTACTTAAGCTATACTTTATTAATACTCTGATAAAAGTATTCCTGTGAACTACAGTGGTTTTGGAATTCTATTTTTACCTTTATATTAATGTCAAAGAAGAACAATAAACGCAACAAAAGATCCCCTAGTAATGAAAAGGCAGACTGCAAAGTTCTCCTTTTGTGTTCCTTTTTAGGATCCAGATGGAGTCCAACGAAAAGAATCAGTTGTTTCACCAGCACATCCATGTGTTCGGACTGCAAGAGTGGTATCATCTACCTCTGAAGAGGAGGAAGCGTTTACAGAAAAGTTCCTAAAAATTAACTGCAAGTACATCACCAATGGCAAGGTATTTATCATGTTTTACACTTACTGTATGGAATGTAAGAAAAAAATACTCTTGAAGTATAAACATAGGGTAAGACTGTCTTTGACAGATAGATCAGCTTATGTATATGTACATTTTTCTTACTGTTTTCTTTGTATTCCCAGACCACTTATTTCTTATTTCTTAAATGCAGTTATGATGTAGTTGACTTGACAAACTTCCCATGTTGAGTATCTTTTTTGTGCTGAGGGACAGGAAAGCTCTTTGTTCCCTGTGTTAGTATCTCTTCCAAGTAATACTTTTTCTTCATGATGGAGAAGAATATGCCTTCAACTGTCAGAAAATATGTAGTTAGGTTGCTTCACTTCTGTTTTCTGAGAACAGACCAGTGAGAGCAGAATGAATCTGATTCTGTGAGCACTTCCATAGCAGATATATTATGGTAGAAATATGTATTTTTTAAATTTGTTTTAGTGCTTTGTCCTTACAGAAATCTCTTAAAGTTCTTGGCATTTAACTTCCTTGCAGTTCATAAGTGCAAGCTTCTAGGAAGTGAGATTGTCAACAGTCAGAAGGCCTGGAATGCTTTTGGGAGTGGGGAAGAAAGGTATTACTTTCTCACTCCTCAGTAAAAAAACAAAAAAAAGACTTACTAGCCATTTTAATCCTGAGAAAAATATGCTTTCACTCAAGCTGAATTAATGCAGAGTACTTGTATTACTTTCTTGTTCTCATGAAGGTTGGTTCAAAAAATATACCTACCTACTTCTCTTCCTTAGAAATAGATTTGCAAATGAGTAACGCTAATACTAAATGGATCTAAAGAGAAGCTCCTAAAGCTTCATTTTATTTTTGCTGATGGAAAGTGTTTTTATGTCTAGGTGTGAAGCCTTTTGACAGTACATGTGTTCTAGCAAAAATCCTGTACTAGAAACAAGCACTAGATAAGCTTTATTTTATATTTTTTTTGTTCTACAGTTAGTTAGCTTTCCTCTGCATTGTTGCCTTAGGTGACTTCTTTAGCCTATGTGGATTGGAGAGTGGGGAATGAATCCTAAGCTGTTGGAAGCTTGAATTCTAGATTTCAGAAATTCTGCATGCAACTTAGCATTTGTCACATAGCTAGAACATTTTCAGGTTCTTGTCCCCTCTCCTCCATATATTTCCTGACTATGCAGGATGACAAATCTAGAGATGGTATTCTGGAGGAAAAACTCAAAATTAATCTTCTGCTGCCCACTCTAAATGATTTTGACTCTCATTGTTAATAATATTTCACAGAATGCAGATACGAGGTGTTGTCATCAGTCAGACTGATGTTCTTAAACTAAAATCTAGTGAAAGGCTCTTTGTTTATTTCACACATATGAGAGGGTTCATGTTAAGACAAAGCTGTCTTTCTCTCTTTGGGACAGCTATTATTTTCTAGAGAAGTGCATGCTGATAGGCTCATGTAGTAACTGTGGACTGTATCAAGTAACTTTGTGAGCCAGAAATGTTGAACTGGTGTGCCTCCTGTTATCTTTAAAACAGGTAACAATGAAATGTCATCTCCTGTTAAGCAGATATTAAAACAGCCAGTGTTTTCAAGATACCTGTACAAACTTCCAACTGCTTTCAGTCATTTTAAGTGTTTGCTTGGCATCTTACTCGATTTTTTTCTTGATTGGCATGACATTTAAATTGCAGTAGACTTTCAAATTAATTTATACACTGAGTAATATAGTAGTATCTAGTATATACCCCTTGGTCTTGCTCATGATGGTCTTAGAAGATATCAACAAGTTTTTCATCTGCTACCTGTGTGTTTGGTTCAGAGGCAGGCTTTGGAATGTTCCATACATGTTAAAGACAACTGCCTGGTGTCCTAGCTCTGAGTGTGTTAGGAAGCTTCTCTTAGAAGGTCTTCTAAACTTATCTCCTGCATGCAAGCAAGTGTAACAACTACATTAGGAAAACAAGGCATCTACTGTTCCTCTGTCTGGTATGAAGAAACTGGATAGTACCTTGTGGTGTTTAGACATGTTCAGGTTAGTCACAGGGATAGGAGTGTGTATATGCATTTTTAAATTCTGGATGTTTTTTGTATTTTTAAGATGCAAACAAACCATGCCAATAGTAGCTGGGGAGAGTTTGAGAGGTTTTTTCAACTGTTGAAACTAAGTTGACAGCAAGTTAAATGAAATTAGGAGAAGACACAAGTAATCAGTTCCATACACATCATTTCATATCTGATGTTCAGATGATCAATTTAAAATTCACTTTATTTTTTTTACTAGTTTTGCAACAAAATATTTAATTTCAACCAAGACTGTCAGCTGAAACACTCCTTTAATTTGCTTCTGAGAGCACAGATAAAGCATTGAATTTCATTCTTTCTTTAATAAAATCAGAGAATTTGTTGAGGCTGGTAATTTGTTGTCTGTGAGACTTTACTCCTTGTTAGAAGAACGTTCTCTCTTCATTTTTTCAAAGTTCTGTAGAGTGTCACATACTTTGTGTATTAGGACACATTTATTTTCAAAATAAAGAGAATAAGCAAAGACAAACTCTTATAGGAATGAAGAGTCTTCTCTTGAATTTAGTATTGATTTCTCTTACTAATATAGATCTTTAGAAACTGGTATTGAATGTTGACATTAAGCTAGAGCAGTCATACAGTCTAATTGTTTTTTTGCACACATTTTGAATATCTGCACCTGGATATTGAAAATCATAAGTAGTTTTTGCCCTTTATGCTGATAGTTCTTACTGTTTGATTAGGTTTTTGGATCCTCTTATCCTCTTGGCTGAAATTGCTATTAAGAAATACTTACATAATCTTGTTCAGATCATGGAGTTTATCTTGAATGGGTAACCCTTTGCTTTTACTAAGGATGAGGAAAGACCTTTAATGTCATAATCAATCTGTTTAATAAGTTATTTAAATTAGAAATACGCAGTATATTAAAAAACAAAACAGCACTACACCAGTTTGTCATGATGTGCTGATTCCTATGCCCAGCTGTAATGGAGGCTTCTAGTTTACTTTGTCTTTCTTCAAACTACTTTTAGAATTGTCAGTGAAACTAATTATGTGTTCAGGCTTTCAAATACTTAAATGGTACAAACAAAGGTATTCCTGTGAAACAGTAACAGCTCTAAAAATAGCATTTAATACCTGTTCAAAAATCTGTGTCCAGTAGTTTCCTTCTGTTTTGATCTGTTCAAATGAAACGTGGATGGTCTCCATAGTGTTTCAAAACACTGGGATTGTCAATACATCAAAAACAGGTCATGTGGCACAGATGTAGATCAGACCTTATTTTAAGAGATTATTAAAAAAATAAGATTATTAAAAAAAAAAAAATTGTATTATTTCATTAAATACCACAGATGATTTGGAAGCGATGTTGTTTTTTGCTTTGTTTGCATAATGTATGTAGACCATATTTGTTTAAAAAAGCAGTTGTTCTTCTGACTAAACTCAGTAGTTTTTGCAGTCATGGTAACTTTTTTACTTCAGGCCATAGTGGATATAACAAATTAAAGCTTTTAGTTGACAGTTATCCTTTTGTGGGTTCCTTTTTGCACCTTGAAATTATATTTCTAGAATATACTATGTTTGAAAGCATGGGAAGAAATACTAGTGACAATTTCAGTGTCTTAAAATCTTGTGTGAATATGTTCTGCTGACTTCTCAGTCCTTAGCATATGCTTTGTGCTTGAACAAAGTCACACATGTAAAACCTGACCAGGCACTGAATGATATTTCAAAAGACTTCTGTGTAGACACTTGAGCTGCTTTTGAGTCTGTTTCATTTTTTTTCCTTAAGTGATATAACTGGTCAATGTTGTTGGATTTAATACTTCTTTTGGCTCACTTTTTAGTGGTCTATAATTTTCTGTTTACTATATGGCATCTTAGTTTTTCTGCTGTGAAGATCATCAGCCATCTCAGTGCTGGAAATCAGTTTATGTGAAGAGAAATAAATGTAGTTCTAACTTAAGCTGTGCTAATATGTGTTCTTAAAACAAAACTGCAAGCCAGCAGTCATCTCTCAATCTAATATGCACTGTTTGTGGTTACTGTGAATGATTTATCAGTGAACAAGATACTTACTTAATTCTTGATTCTTATTTAATTCTCAATTGTATCTGAAGCAAGTCTCCTGTGATTCTTGAGCAAAAAAAAAAAAAAAAAATTGAATTCATGAAGTTCTTAGGATCCAAGTTTTTTAAAGAATTGTTATTATCCTGCTAATGGTTTCATTTCCTTTGGTTCACAGTTAAAGATAAAACTTCACTATTATGATGGCTTAATGAGCTTCCTTAGTGAGCAACTGTGGTGGTAGTGGTTGTGGGTATTTCTAACTTTTGTGGGGAGTTCAGCTGTTGTGTAAATCAGCTTCATCTCTATATTCTATGAGAAATGTACTTCTCATAGTATTAGTATTAACTGTAAGATAATGCAGGATATGAATGTAAGTACTTTTTTATATAACTTGTGATAAATTCATCCAAAACTGCATCTTTGTGCAAATGCATCTTACAAGCAACAACAACAACAAAAACCTACTTTGTAGAATGGAACAAGATTTGAAAATATTAAATCCATTTGTCCAATCAATCTACAGGTCAGTTAAGTTGGACTGAGTTGTATCAGATACTGCTGTCACCTTCGAGTGAGAAAACAGGAATGACTGCTTATGAGACTTTGTTCAATATATTAAAAAAAAAAGCAAAAAAACAATTAAGTTGCAGATTTTTTAGGGGTGAAAAATGCTTGAAGCTTTTTAAGTTAAAAAATAAAAAAATAAAAATAGCAAAAAGCCCTGTAGCTTTCTAAGAACTGTGTATTTATCTTGGATGAGCTGCCTAGTGTATTCATCAAGTTGCAGGCAATTTCAGCAGTGTTGAACAGTTCTTAGGAACAAATAAGAGCAAAATTTGCTGACTTTTTTCACAAGTCATTAATCTGTATACCTGGAGAAATAACTACTTCCAGATAATGCAAGGAAATTTTATGACCTTTAAATAAAAATACAAAGTGCTTTTTTAAAAAAAAAAAAAAAACAATGCTCTTCTGGGAAAAAAAAAAAAAAGAATAAGCTGAAATACAAAGCATAAAATTTACCACTTCTTTTCCTTCTCGTTTTAGGGTACAGTCAATGGTGTGCTGCTAGTGACGCCAAATAATATAATGTTTGATCCTCATAAAATGGACCCTCTTGTCCAAGAGAACGGCTGTGAAGAGTATGGCATCATGTGTCCCATGGAAGAAGTGATGTCAGCTGCTTTGTATAAGGAAATTATGGACAGCAAAATTAAAGATTCATTAAGCATGTAAGATAGAATAGAATAATAAATGAGCTTTGAGTAAAATGTACTGTATCCTTATGGCTGACCATACAAAGCTAGCACACAACACATTTTCTTTTGAACATTGAAAATTGGCTCGGAGAGGCTTTGGAGAAATTTTGATTTGTCCTCAGTTCTCACACTTGCTATACTGTCAGTGCTGCTCTGAAAGTAATGCCTTCTATTTTATGTTACGTAGCAATGTCAGAAACAGATGTTGGTGGAATGGTAGTAGAGGTTGAATCTTCCCTCGGAAATCCCACTGCATGCTGTTGCTGTGACAGATAGCAGCAGGAGGGCAGTTTTGTCAGTGGTGGAAATGTGGATGGAATAAAGGTTTGTCATTAAATTCCTCCATGTGGAAAAAATTGCATTCATTGACATTCAGTATTGCTTTCTGAGCATTTATGTAAACCAGGGAGTAGATGTGAGTACTTAGAGATGGTGCGTGATGTGCTTCAACAGTGGATCACCTGCTGGTGTTGAATTTTGCAGGTGTGGTATTTAGGCTGCTTACTCATCACTGGTGAAAATGCGTAGCTAGTGATGGTGACTCTATTGAAAGTTAGAGTTATGTAGCTAAAAGTTTTCTCTATTAAATAGTGCTGCTGTGTTCTTTGTAGCTTCCATAGAAATAGGAGGCATTACTTTTGGAGCAACCTACGTGTATAGAATCTCTTCTACGTAGGTGGTTTTTAACTTCCTTTGATGATGGGAGCAATGGCAAGAGGTACCACAGCACTTCTACCATTTCCAATTTAATTTAGTTTAATAATTTTAAAACTGATGCAAAGAGTAGAAAAGCTCAACCTAAACAGCTTTAGATATAAGTCTTTGTGTAGCACTTCCTACTTTTCCAAGTAGTGTACCGTATCCTCTCACTCTGTTAAGTAACTAGATCAGTTTTCTAAGGCTGGTGTTTTTATGGCACATTTTTTCCCTTTTTGGCTACAGGAAAAAACTGCATGTTCACCTTTGTGTTCTAGAATTGTTTGAAGTGAACAAGTTGAATTTTGATTGGTGAGCCTTCATTGCAGGTGTTTGTTGTAGGCATTCAAAGCTCTCTCTGAACAGCAGTATAAAAAATCTTTATTCTTTTTTTACCTAGTTTTTATATACTTAGTATTTATATTTTCCTCAGAAATAGTATAAATTGTAATATTAAAACATCTGTAAAAAAAAAAAATGATGAAAAAAAAAATCATGCCACATTTACATGCCTATAAAGCACAAGTGTGCAGATGGCTTAATCATTTAACTACAGGCAAGTGTACAAAACTGTGTATATATACCTGTATGAGAGAATAAAGCTATTTGCTTGACATAACTATTAAAAATGCAACCATCTTCAATAAAGGGATGGTAGCCTAACTATAGTGAGGTAAAGATACTGAGATCTAAGGTATAAAGCTACTCAATTTTGAAAAAATACTTTTCAAATAGAGTTCTTCTAGGTAGCAGGTTAAGCAGATTTCTTGATGATCTTAAGTGCTCTGACATCTAGAAGAAATAACTTGTATGGTTTTATTTTCCAAAGCATGGCCTCAGCAGAGGCATACTAACAGGCTGGTGTTTCAACATAGCCTTGTTTGCTGATTTCTGGGAGTTTTATTTTCCAGATTGCACTTAAAAAATGGTTCATCTTAGTGCCTAGTTTCATTAACAGATGGTGCAGGTGATGAAGTTAAGATGCAAGTAACTTTTTTAATCTAGTTATTTGGATAATAAGATTGCGGTTGCAAAACAAATATTTTTTCCCCAGTCTATTTAGTTTCTTAATGACTTAAATTTGACTCATGACTTTATCCTATATACACTGTAGATTTTTTACTTCTATAGTACGTGTGCTTTTTGTTTTGTTTTGCCTCTAATATAAATGCATGTGAAATGAGAAAAAATACTTTAAGTCATGTTTCATTTGCAGTCTTATATGCTTATCATTCTTTCAACTTTATAAACTATTAAGTAGGAAACTAGTTTAGCATTTTTTCACTTCCAGCTCTTCTATACCTTAAATTCATGAAAATCTGAGGCATATCTGTAAAGTTTTGGGAAAATAAAATTCAAATTTCTGATTTATAGCTATAATTAATTCTGACAAGACCTTTAATGTCGATATTGGAGCTAGCACAGTCTTAACATCAACCTCACATTGAACGTTGAGTAAGAGAACGTGGATGTTTTGTGAACATCCTGTATTTTAATGTCTCAGTGAAATCAGTAATTGGAATTAAAAGTTCTGTTGAGATGTGAAGTGGAACTATCATTTTTCAGGGTGGGAGATTTAGGTATGAGCTTCTTAAGTGTTTGAGGCTAATGGCAGAGCTAATGTGCTTCGTAGCAAGGGATCTGCATTTTAGAACTCAAGTCAAAAGTATGCTTAAAGATGACAAATTATTTATGAAGGTTGTGTACTGCTAAATACAGCTTGATAGCTTTTTTTGATGAATTCTGAAGTGGTGTAGATAAAGTTGAGCAAGTTCACAGCCTACTAGTAGTCCTCATTTTCTAAAACCTGTAGACTTCTAGTTGACTTCTGAAGGCATTTGGAAATAAATTCTTATACATGTGCTTTTGTCTTTCTCATTATCAACACCCGATATTCGTTATTCAGAATGTTGAGTTGCAGCAACTAGCTCAGGATTTATTTTGCTTAACAGTGGTAATCTGAGATAGATAACTGATGTTTGGAGAAGAGAAGGTTCTGGGGAGACCTCATTGTGGCCTTCCAGTAGTTGAAGGAAACGTATAAATAGGAGGGGGAACGGCTGTTTACGAGGGTGGATAGTGATAGGACAAGGGGAAATGGTCTTAAACTGAGACAGGGGAGGTTTAGGTTAGATATTAGGAGGAAGCTCTTCACACAGAGGGTGGTTATGCATTGGAATGGCTTGCCAAGGAGGTTGTGGATGCCCCATCCCTGGAGGCATTCAAGGTCAAGCTGGATGTGGCTCTGGGCAGCCTGGTTGGGTGGTTGATAACCCTGCACGTGGCAGGAGGTTGAAACTCTGTGATCACTGTGGTCCTTTTCAACCATTCTATGGCCACTCTATGATTGGTGAGCATACTAATCAGTGTTTATTTTCTAGAGGCAGAATGGTAAGATCTTGATAGAACATGCCATGATGGTTCCTATTGTTCTGTGTTGACTAGTGAGGCAAGGTTAGACCAAATGACTTCTGGCATTATCTTACCAGGGAGCTGGGTGTGAAGTTGGTGCTAAGTGGAATGGATTTTCAGGTGTGCATTTTTTTGATAGCTAAACCTTTAAAGACTGTGGAGGATATCTACTTCTAGAGATGAGGGTTCTGTGAAATTTATCACCCCCGTCTGCCACTGTCCATTTCTTTTGTTTTACACTTTAAGAATCTTACACGCATTCTCTGGTTTCAAAAGATCTTCCCTTTGCAAAAGTAATGTGAAATTTGGAAGTTGCATCTATATCATACTGTCAAAAGGTCTGCCACGAGATTGCTTGCATAATGTTTAATAGAATACTTACACTTGTTTCTTACTGCTGATGTTTGCTGGATTAAGGGGTGAGGAGCATGGGATTGATTAATTTTTTTAGACTAAAATATGTTTGTTTTTTTTTTAATATTCAGTAAAAGTTACTAAAGGAAAAAGCTTGACATAAAAGGCACCTGCTATCATAATGTCTTTGTTTGCTCAACAGAGATGTGGAACAGCTGTCTGTGAGGGAACTTTGCCATTCCAAGAAAGCTGCAAAGAGCAATACAGAAGAAATGAATTCCAGGATTCGGGATACAGGCAATGACAGTGCTAGCACTGCTCCAAGGAGTACAGAGGAGTCTCTGTCAGAAGATGTGTTCACAGAATCAGAACTCTCTCCAATACGTGAGGAACTTGTTTCTTCAGATGAGCTTCGACAAGACAAATCTTCAGGAGCATCATCAGAATCTGTCCAAACAGTAAACCAAACTAGTGCAGAATGTTTAACAACCATTTTGGACTCAAAAGAAGCTGGCAGTGACTTAAAATCCAGTGTTGAAATGGTTGTGAATGTTAAACAGTTAGATACCCACGGCGTAGGTTCAGAAGGTGCAGAGATGTCTGTAAAGGGTGGACAAGAATCTAGTGAAAGCATGGAGAACACCTTTCAGCAGTCTTTGCAAGGGTCACGTGTTAGTGAAGAATGTGACAAAGAGACACCAGTGGGCAAAGATCAAGACTCCATGCTAGGAAAAGAGTCAGAATTAGAGAGTAAGATGAGAGAGGAATGTCCACATTGTGAAGGTACCACAGACTCTCAAAAGTTGGAGCCAACTAGGAAGGGAAACACAGAAAAAGAGCAAGCTCAAGCCTCTGAGGCAGAAGTTGAGGAACTTCGCAAACTCTGGAAGTCCCATACTATGCAACAAACCAAACAACAAAGAGAAAATATGCAGCAGGATTCACAAAAAGAATTTAGTCAGAAAACTGTGACTTCAGGAGATGGGCAATCAGAAGGTGAGCCAGTGTTTATGGATATGGTGTTAGTCTTCATATGTGCTCTTGAGAATTGGCTTTACTTTCCACTCCGTGAAACAAATCCCAATATATTGCTTATTTTTTTCACCAGTGTGCAAATATATCTAGTCCGTTCTTACATAAACCAGTGGAAAGATACTGCTTAGGAAACTGAAAACATGGGTACCTTACTGACCCTTTTCCTTATCAGGGTTGTTTTTTTTAGTTTAAATTGGTATCACCTTTGTAGGGGAAATTTCCCCTAACATATTCAATTAGATCCATGATGATTAGGTCACTATAGAGCTCAGAATCAAAAATGTTCATTAGTAGTCACCTAACTGTTGCTTAAATTTTGGACTTGGTGTATCTGTGTATGAGTGAATTTCAAGGAGTGACATTAAACTCACTTATGTCTTGTATACCTTGTTAAGTTCTATGTTTTGAGCAGCAAACACTGGAGGTTTAACGTAGCACAGAGGCTAAATTGGTTTTAGAAGATTCACTAGTATTTTGTATTAGATTCATGCTGACAATGTTAAAGCTGAACACAGGAAAAACATTTCTCAAAGCAAATAGGAGCAAGGTGGTAAAAGTAATGCTATGAAACTGTAGGATCATTAGATTTACAGGAGTGTCCTCACTCTTCTGTGAAGATTAATCCCTAGGATTGTTAATCAAAAGTTAGCTTAAAGCTTAAGAGATTGAATTCATATTTATTTTAAAAAGTATTAGTTCAGAGGTGATTCTTCATGTATTATCTATTTTTACAAATTTCTTTGTTACTTTCTGATACTCTGTCATCTTACTAATAAAACTAATCATCTGATTTGTGCAATATTTTAGGACCTCTAAAGAAAACATAATTTTAATGTCTCTTAGAATGAGAGTATGGTTGAAGAGAATATGGAGGTCATATTGTTTTCTTTCATAACCGAAATCTCAGATTGTATTGAGTGATTCAGACTTTTTTTCTTTTTCTTCCCCAGTTAAGGAAGGAACTGAATTTTGAATTTGGAGCAGATTAACAGTAACATCATAATGTGATAAGTTTAGTTTTGTATCTTAAATAATTAAGGAAACTGTCTAGCCAAAATGTCATCTAACTGTAGTTGCTGGTTATGACTTTAATATACTCTGCCACTGTAGCTGCTTTTTTTTTTTTTTTTACAACTGAATATTACCTGTGGTTCAGCGATATTGAATACTTCTGTCATGGCTTTTTTCTCCTGAAGATTCTCATTTGATGATGCAGGATGAACTGTGCAGTCACAGTGTTTGCAGGGGAAAAATGTGTCTCAGAATCATAGGTGTAGAAGTTGGCCTTTTAGAGGCTTGTGCCAATGGCATCAGTTGAAACTGTGCATTTCTTATTAGCTTGTATATTGCCTTACCAAATTTACTGGTTTTTTTTGCATTCATTAATTTCTATTTCATAGTCTAGATAGAAATTTCATGCAATTTCTATTAGTTTCATCTATAAGCAATTTTAGATAAGGAACAGATCCATCCTCCTACTCTTATTTTTAACTCCTAAGTCAGCAAACACTAAATTTTAGACAGCTTTGTTAGCAATACATTCAATCTCATTAAAAGATTGACACCATAAATATGTCCAACCTATTGATCTCAAATTCTCTGAATTAGTCCTATAATGAGTTTTTATCATTGTCACCTAGGTAGCCTTCTTGTTTACTGAATGTAGCAAGAACTTAGATTTCTGCTCTTCTGTGGGATTTTTGAGCATCTAGGATTTGCAAACTGTCATTTGTTGTTTGCTAAATTTAGATGTTTTTGAGTTAGAAACAGTGATCTGCTAGTTGTTCTGAATGTTGAACAAGTGATACATAATAACTAATAGTTTGTAATAGCTAAAAAGACCTCTGTATTTTTTATAACTTGGAACTCATTCTTCCTTGTTTTTTGTGATGCTCTAAAATTAACCACTAGAAACTAGTTGTAGGTGATGCCTTAAAGAAATGATAGTGGTCAGTTTCGTAGACAATGACAAAGTTCACACTCAATTCAATGGAACAGCTGGGTTTTGTGTGTATTTAAATCATACAATTATCTTTCAGTTTATGTGCAGAAATAATTCTAAAATATTACTGGAAATTAAGTACCCATTATGTAACAGTGCAATTTCATAAACTTTATGGTGAAAATCAGACTGAGAAAGCATACTGTTGAAATGTTTATAAATCAAAAGGCGATGTTTGCTGTACTTACTGTATGAGTATTCTGCATGGTCACTGAAGGTGAACTGCAACTGTAAATAGCAGGTGAGTCTTTTAGAAAACTGAAACACGTATGCACGTGTAACACCAATATTATGCTACATCATTTTGTGCTTATAGCTGATTATCAGAACTCTGGAAACTGCCATTTTTTCCTTCCCTGCTTTAAAAAGCTTTTTCTTATGGATGGAACATATGTCATAGGATTTAGGTGACTAATCTCTCAAAGAAATAATTTTGAGGCGGTTTCTTCCTTAACCCTGTGACTTGACAATCCCAACCTTGAGAATAATTATATATTTAATTGAACAAACATAGCAGTAGCAGAAAGAATCCCATGCTGCAAATTCTGGTATGCTTTATCATGGAGTGGTGGTCACACATCTGAAACATTTGAAATGGCTAACAAAATAAATTCATCTTTGTTGTCTAACATCATTGCTAGAATTTCTCTTCCTTGCAGGAGAAGCAATTGGTGAGCACATATGTCTGGCATATGTACTTATCTAACATCGTCATCTTTGGCATGAGTATGTCTTCACATTTGAGCATTTCTGAATCAGTGCTGAGGGATATGCATTGAGAGTATCTTCTGAAATACTTTCAAGCATGGTTGAACAATTAACTTGATGTGAACTGGGGTCAGAAGCAGAGTTATTTCTAATGTCCAAATATGAAGTTAATTCTGCTAATACATTTTAAAAACAACAAAAAAGACTCCTTATATTACCTCATCTCTTATTACCTATGCCTACTCATTCTACATACTTATTTCCTAATAGGAAATTAGCTAGTCATTCTGTTAAGCAATATTGTATGTTGTAGATAGCTTAATTTTTCTTTACTAATAGGTTCTTCCCTTACGAAAGAAAAACGAAGACATCGATCTCACAAGTTTTTGTGTCTCAAGGTTGGAAAACCTATGAGAAAAACATTTGTCTCACAAGCAAGTGCATCAATGCAGCAGTATGCTCAGAGGGATAAAAAACATGAATACTGGTTTGCTGTTCCTCAAGAAAGGTAAGAAGGAAGTGGACTTCTAGGTCTTCCATGTCACTCCTCCCCCTGCTCTATTCAAAAGTCTTTACTGACTGTCCATAAAGAAACACAAAAGTCCCAACAGCCCAGGATATTCTATGATTCTGTAATACTGATTATTGTTTTGTATTGAATACCTCATTACCATATCAAAGCCTTGCATAGTTACTTGCAGGTTTGGTCAATACTCCCTGTAACAAGTAAATAATAAAAGAAAGATTAAATTAAGTGGGATCTTGTGCAGGAAGCAAGTTTTGCAGGGAATGCTTCGTCATTGTCTGTGCTTCATATTGCTTGGAAAAAATAGTTGTCTTGAGCTCTGAGTTAAAAACAAAAGTATCCCATCTAGTTCTTCTATACAAAGTGCAGCACAGTGGTGTTTTTTTGTTCCCTTCTTCCCCATCCACCCTGAGAAGTAACTTAAACACATCTACAAAAAAAATATTTAAATGAAATGGCTATGTTCCCTCACTGATAGTGTTGAATTTCTTGAATGATTTTTGGTAGTAAACTGACTTATTTTTCATCGTGAAAATGTGTGTTTTCCCCCTTCTCCCCCCTCCCAAGATATTGGAATTACTTTTAAACAAGGAGCTTAAAAACTAAAATGCAACCCAAACAAACAAAAAATAATCTATCAGATACAGTTTTGTATAAATAACTACACAAAATGATGAAGTCACTTTTCCATCTTTTCTTTTGAGCTCAATGGCATAGAATGTCCAGTTGGGGCACTGCAGTTGAGGACAGATATGGATCAATTGGAGAGAGTCCAGAGGAAAGCATCAAGACTAATTAGAAAGTGTAACATATAAGGAAAATTAGAAGTAAGTGGGGTTCCTTAATCTAAAGGAGAAAAGATTTGATTACGAACATAAAACTCATTTCATACATAAGTTGGCAACAAGAAAGGCAGTAGTCATCTCTGAATGGAGATGTATAACAGACTGAAATGCCATTTAAAAAAAAAAAAATTGCATTTTCCAACAGTAGAAACTGAGTCTATGCAAATCACTAACCTGGTTTTAAGCATTAATCTTGTAACCCTTCAGCAGAGATTGTACAATTTCTTGACACAAATGCCAGTCCTATCAGTTCTGGTATAGCTCTTCTTGTCAGGGACACATGACCTCTTACAGTTACATCCAACTTTATTTTTCTTATTCTATTCATATTACACTTCATTTAAAGGCAGTCTTTTTATTTATGACAACGATATCTTGATCAACTGATAAAGACAATCTCTCAAGTTTATTTTTTAGTATAGCAGTGCAAATGCTTACCTTCAGCATAAAGCAAAACTTACAGCATGTTTCAAAAGTAGTTGTTCTTAGCTTACAGTTTATAGTCACTACCTGGGAGATCAGATAAATGATCTTTCTCTAACTTCTTGGCACATTACTAATCTGGTTATTTACTTTTAAATGTCCTTTGGCTTTACAGGTCACATTGTAGTGGGGTTGTTTTTGTAATATAGTGTTAAACTTGCTGAGTGCTGCACTGGATAGATCAAAATAATTAGTATCAACTCAATTTTCTTTCACCTAGTGATAAGAAAGAAAATAAGCTAATCAGGAAAGAGATGTCATAGTTCATAAATATAATTTTTATTTACTTTTTTTAGCTGCTGTAACAATTGGTTTTCAAGCTCTTTTGAATTAAATCTGATTTTTGATCTTTTAAAAACCTACAAGAACCTGGAAAATTAAATTAATACCTCTGTGCATGATGTACCTGAAGTTTCTTTTTCTGTCTTAGAAGTTACCAACCCTTATGCATCTGAAATGTTTTGTTCTTTCTCTGTTAGTTTACTTTTTCATTATTTTCCTTAGTTTTAAAGAGTGCTGACTTTGAATAACTCATCCTCCATTCTATGCCTTTTAGACAAATGCACAGGCAAACGATAGTTGCAGTTCTGTAAAACATTGCTGCACTGTATCTTTGGCTATTTTTTGAGCATTGTTTTACAAAGCTTAAGTAAGGGGGGGGGGAATGCAAGTATCGTTCTTCTTGCTAATGTGGAGATTGACTCTCTTTGATGAGAGATGCAGGAATATGCAAATTCTATAAATAACTTAGTCTATAAAATTCTCCCTTTTGAAGCTGTCATTCCATGATGAAGAGATACTACTGGGTTCATTGTGCATCCTTTTCTGTTCACATACAGGAAATAAGCAGTATAGACAGACACCTGTTAGGGGTTGTAAATGACTTATGAGAATTTGGACATTTTGTTTTTGCTTTTCCAAACTGGAAAACAGTACCATTTGTGGCAGATAACTTAAAAGAGGGTAATTTAAATGCTAAGTACTCACTGCAGTACTACAGATAAACTAAAACCTAGCCTATTGGCAAGTTATGCGTTTGCACATTTTTTTAGTCTTATTACTTCAAAAATGTAGTGATTTTCATGGTCTGTATACTTGGATACCTGACTTGGGAGTGCTGAGCTATTTCTTAGGGACAGGGAAAACAGACATGCTGTAAAATAATTTTTTTAAATCCTAGTATTGTTTTTTATGTACTTAATTGTCCATGTACTTCTAAATTAAATTTTAAAATGTAATGCTCTGTTTTGGTTTTGGAAGTTGTTTCAGTTGGAAACAGAATATTCCAGTGGTTGAAGGACTGTGCTTGTGTATGAGAACACAGCTAGTCATTGCAAGCTTGCTGCTTTTTTCCTCCAGTGTAATTTCATAAATTAAACACAAGCAAATAACAATAATCCACAATAGTATAATGGTTAGTTTTTTACAGATGTAATCTAGTAAAATTTAGTAAAACAAAATACCTCATGTTAAAATAAAAATAGAATTTTATAGTTGCGTAGCCCAGAAGTTTACCATGTTTTTTCTTTTGTGTCCTTACTTGATTTCTCTAGGACAGATCACCTGTATGTCTTCTTTATCCAATGGAGTCCAGAGCTGTATGCAGAAGATACTGGGGAATCTCTTCGAGAGCCTGGATTTATAGTCGTAAAAAAGAAGGAAGAACCTGAAACTAGTGAAGAATCTGCTACTGAAGATGCTGCTAAAGAGTGGGAGGTAAGAAAGAACAGCATCAAAGACTCTTTAACAGTATTTTAATAATATTCTTATGAAAATAAACATTTTCCCAATAAGAAGTACAAAGTGATGTACTTCTGTCTGCTTACTGTAATCATTATTGCTTAATTTATACCATCCTGATGCTTTGCTCTAACATGAGGTCAGGCAACATTTCACAGTTACAAGTCCATTTTGTCTTAGGCAAATTAAGTTAAATTAAAATAAAAGCCTCCCACTTCAATGTGATTACAGCAGAGAAGGTTTAACGTTGATGAAGCAGACTTAATTTTCAGTCTAACTGACATGTTCTTATTATACACATTTCTTTATTATGCACTTGTCTAATAGTGATTGGTAGGCCTCAAAGCTTACTGAGAAAAATTAATCTATTAATGAAATGCTTCTCCGATAACCCAGTAATGAACTTCTCAACTATTGTAACCTTTCAATACATAAAAATGTTGCATGGATTTTAGTAATATACTGTAACTGAAGCTATTTTCAATGAATACATCCCATGCGAATCTGTGTCCACTGTGTTTCTATGGACACATCTTTACATGTCTGTAGCTGTTTCTTAGTGTACGTACAGTAAAAACATATGTAGTCTTGTGCATTCAAGTGTCAGTCAGAAATTTTGATTCTTGTCAAATTGTTTAAGTATCCCATCAGGAGTGATTGCTTTGAGTCTCAGGACAGCAATTGCAGTCTCTGACTGTAAGCTTAATTTTTTTTTTCCTGTTGGAGACTACTCAATTGAAGATCTCCATTCTTGTGTTCTATGTACTGTGAAGAAACTTTAAAAATTGCTGTAGCCTTTTTATAGGTAATAGTTTTCTTAGCCTCAGAAGTTAGAACGTTAGTAGAATTCTTAATTCAAATGTGTCACTTAGCTGAAGTATTAGGCTGGTGTTATAGTTGATGGACTATGTGAAGGATTTTGCTGAGATATTGACATAAATACTTTGCATGTGTATCTGCTGAATCTTGAGACTTTCAGTTTTTGTCTTGCTCAAGTATTGTTACTACTAATACATTTTTTTTATATTAACTCTAGCTCAAAGCCCTTTTGATGCTTTAAAGCCTAGCTTTTTGGGACACAGGGATCGGACTGGCAACTGACCAATTTTATTAAGGCACAATCTCTCAATGAACTTTTTGATAACAGAATGTTAATAGAAATACAGAACCATTTTCAGAGAAAGTAGGGCAAGTTTTTCTTCAGGATTAAACTTATAATGTGTTAGGATTTATCTGTGAAGCTGCTGGAGGCTGTCTTTTCCCTAAGTGTGTTAGTTACCATAAAATGAGGTCATTCCTTCAGCTTTTATTTAGATCTCCTCTGGAAACAATTGTAGACAGCACTTAAAAATACTGTTATTTCTATCTGTGTTGTGTGGAGATTATCTGAAGCGTGGTTCACGTAATCTAATCCAGGAAACGATTGGGAAAAACAATATTGAAATGTTTGACACTACCAGGTGATTCAACCTGTTACTTACAAATCCATTGCAATGCTTTTAAAGTGTGTGCTAGGAAGTACCAGCAGACAGAATAATTGTCAACAGACAAAATTGTGGCTGCTGTTATGCCCATTATTTCCACTGTTGGTTTGTTTGTTTGTTTTCAATTTCAGTGAGGGCATTTCCTTCCTATAACCTACCAAACTTGTTCTGTCAGCTCTCGATCCTGGTTTCATCCAAGGTAACAGGAGAACAGTATCATTGGTGCTTTATTAGAACTGAGTTGTTTTTTTTGTGGACATGACTTGAAAAATAGATTGCCTTCTTCAGAACACATGGTAGGGAAGCTTGGGGTAGAAAGAAAATGGAAAATAAAAGCTTTATGTACAAATATTACAGAGCACTATTGATTTTTTTTTAATATTATTTTTTCTGAAAGAGGAAGCTAGTGGAGTAGTTCTCTTTTTCTAAAGGTAATATCTCTGCTCTTGTTGCATTATGCTCCAAAAGTAGAGACAGAGTGAAGAGGATTAATGGTTAACCTAGATGTTTGTAGTGGTGCTTTGAGACAGTCATAATTGTTTGTCTGATAGTCCTGTATTGACACATCCAGGGGCAGCTTTTTTATTAAGAGACTTTAAGGAATTACTGCAATTTATTTTTGTTTGTTCAGTAGAAAAAGAATTAATGGAAAAAGGAAAGCAAAGACCAGTAACATAAATAGCATGTAGAAATGTGTGCTTTGTTCTGCAGTCTGTATGGTTTATTTGCCATGAAATAAGTTAGCAGGTACAATTTCTGCTGATGTGCCGGCAAGAGAATCAAGAGTCCTGCCATCACAAACACTATTTTCATCAAATATGAAATATTGAAAAGTTAAAAGTATTTCAGGAAAAAAAAAAAGCCTATGCTCTTAAGTCTCAGGTTCTTTGGGGTATATCCTCACCTTACTTTTTTTGTATTCAGATGAATTTGCATAATTCAACAGGGAAGAGTTGGTTGTTCTGGTGAGTCTTGTTGCAATCTGTACTGAGTTGGCTGGGGTTGTAAGACTTTCCTGCATGAAATGGTATTTTGAAATTGACTGGAAGAAGGAAAAAATGGAAAACAAGTGTGTACACAGAGGTTTTCTTCTTTTTACCACATTAAGAGTGTAGTACAGAGATGTTTATGTTCTACTGAACCTGTGCACACACATGAAGATGCATCTTGCAAAACCTGCTAATGAATGTTTTTCTACAGAAGTTGAGCATGATTAGAGCTCTATCTGTTCAAACCTTTTCAAAGTCAATGGATCATATCTGGGGAGAATGGTCAACTGCAAAGAATATTCAAAGCTGCATATCTAGATCTGTACTCAGAAGTTGCTGTGTCCCAAGAACTTAAAACAGGGGAAGGGTGTTAGAGAGGAAGCAATGGAAATTACTGTATAAGAATGCATAATGGAGAAATGACATAATTTGTGCTTTCCTACATTTTTTTAATATAAATTTTTTGTATGTCCTATTTGTCTTACTGAAGTACTAATTGATCTCTTCAGAGAATATTAGATTTGATTCTAGAATAAATCAAAACTTTACTGAAATGAGGTACCATAATTAACTGTCTTTATTAAGTGAGATAACACTTCATTAAGTGTCATGCAGTGTTGGAAACATACGATTTTTCAGCATAAATCCTATGTCTGGTCATCAGCTAGAATGCTGACACGAAAAATGGAATTACTCAGTATGGATGGAGCTAAATATTTCTGACATCAAAGAGATTCTAAGCAGTTTTGATGAAATCAGTTAAAGAAATATGTTTCTTAAATATTTTAATAGAAGTAAAAAGAAGAATTACTTTGTATTGGAACTATTAATTGTATGAAGTACTGATTCCTCCATCCCCTTTGCACTTCCCCTTGTCATCAGATCTTATTCATTGCAGTTTTCCATGATTGAGTCATGCTTCAGATCTACGTGAATCTTAAATATACTCATCCACAAGAATGGTGAAAACAGGAAGTTTCATTGTCTTAGGACCTGCAAGCTACTCTTAAAGTAGTTGGAAGCTGAACTGTTACAGTGGTATCCATTAGTGTATCTGTTGTTTGGGTAACACAGAAAACCAGATTGTTCTGAAGCTGTTTTGAAGTCTGCTTCCCAAGTGAAGCAAAGCTGATAGATGTTTGCAGCCAATTTTCCCAGTTTCCTGAATCATTAACAAAAGTGTTCAGAAATTCAGTTTGTTTTTATGAAAAAATGAATGTCACAAACAGGATAATGTCTCTAAGTGAAGTAAAAGCAGAAAGATTTTAAGGATTAGGATATTGGGTATAGATGTGAAGTTCTTTACTTGATCTGGATGGTAGCCTGTGACGCTACTATAGTAAAATGGGCCTATCAATGAACATTGCTGTCTCTCCTTAAAAAACTTAAGACGTATTTATACTTAATAGTATGTTTTTTATAAACTTATTTCCATTCTCTGCTCTGTATTTTCTAAACAGAGCACATGCTTGCCATGTCTTACAGCACAGTGACCACACGGCATTGTAAGATGTATGGCAGAGGAGATAATGCAGGATTGGTAGGAAGTAGGAAGTCTGGAAGGTGTAGACTTGTTGATATTAGAAATGTTGTATTTGTTAGTTGATTAAGAGACATGCAATACTGACTTTTTTATATTATGTGCTATATTGAAATCATTATGATCTCTTCATTAAATAACATATTTAATCGCTTCTCGGCCTTTTGGCTAAGATCAAGTGTAGTATCTGTGAATGGGCTTTGCTCTTGGTCTGGGCAGTGAGATTCTTATGAATTTCTGCGATTGAAGAGAAACTGGCAGCAGTTAACAAAATGCAGTGCCTGTCATTAAAACTGGTCACTTGTTCTTTCTTTTGTATTTAACTCAAATAATGTAAAAGTCTGAACCTTGTGGTTAGGATATTTCTTGCTTTGCTCAAGTTATTTTCTCTACTTAATCTGCTCTGAAACTATTATTTATTTTTGAATGTGCATTCACTACATAGAGCTATTCTCCTGTACCTTGAATCATGAACATGGACTTGTAACTGATAGTTATTTTGTGCATTTAATGGAAAGAACTGAAATAGTCCCTTTGATAGGAATTGAAGCTGAATCATACGATTAAAAATCTTGTAGTATAGAGACTCCTAATGGCTTTCAGAGTGCCTCTGGCAATGCAGAGGAAACTTTTGTGGATAAGAAAATGCCTTTATTTTTTCCCAAACTGTTGAAACAAAGGGTAACTAAAATTAGATTTCCTTTCTTAAAGAAGTGTTATTGGCCAGCTAAGGCACTGTGCCAGTCAGTGCTGTACAGTGTACCCTAGAAGCTGACTGTGGTACTGCTGAGTGTGTTTCTTGCAGGCAGACCATAGTTAATCATAGTCTCACTTCAGTCGTCAGCTTCTTAGTCTACATACCTGCAGAAGTTGTTGCGACAAAGGTATTTAAACATCCAGTTGTTCTGGAAGACAGAGTTGTTGTTTAGCTTAGGAGCCAATACCTGAAATTATTTTGTTTAT